TAATGAATACCCTGACAATTAAAAATTCAGTCTCTACTTCTTTCTTTTCAAATCATCTATGTAAAGAGATGTTTCTCAGTGTAACTTTTTCATGGCTCTCAATTTGGTCGAGTATTGATGAATGACAAGCAATTCTTTACAGGCAATTGTACCATTTTTGAAAGAATCCATTTCATATTACATGAAAATTATACTTCTGTGGTATTTTCTTGGTATGGATTTGCTCCCGGTTTGAAGGATTACAATTTGCTTTATATTTTGAATAGAACAAAGTTAACAGGTATTCAATATGCTCAATAAGGTAGTAGAAATGTGGTCAAAAGTGGATGAGAGGTTTCAAAACATACTTGGAAGGTCAAAAGCATAGATGGAGAAAGTACATATGGGGACACAAAAAAGTAAGGGAGAAGAAGCCTTCGGTACAGGGGATCTGAACTTGGCAAAGCCTGGATAGTGTTTGGATTAAAGATGTCATGATGTCTGAGAATAACAGCATGTCTGAAAGCTTGTAGATGCAAATTTGTGTCAATATCAAAACTACCCCCCAATGAATGGTCTTCTTTTAACACTGACCTACAGGCAAAAAGAAACAAATCAAAACAGTGAGTGTGGTTCTTACCTAAAGAAATTGGACTTCTTGTCTGGAAAGAATTTTAGCATTGGTATGAATAGCTCAGAATAAAGCCCACTGTATCAAAGACTTTGAAGGTTTCTTTCAACAAGAGACTCAGCTCTCTACCTTAGCACATAGAGTAAAATATCCCAGTTAACAAGACCCATCCAGCTACTTAGAACTTGTAGTCTATTTTCTCCTTCTTAAATATAAATATACACAAGATCCCTAGCAGTATTTAAAAAGTCTACAGCCCCAAAAGGGAAAATAGCATGGGAGTGGACAAATTCCTTGAAAGACACAACTTATAAAAGTCGACACACCAAGAAATAAAAATATAACCATTCCTGTATCTATTGAAGAAATGGATCCATTATCAAAAATTTTCTCACCTAAAAACCTCAACAATAACAACAACACAAATCATAACACCCCATGCACTGATGACTTTACAACTGAATTCTTCCAAACATCTCAGGAAGAAATGATACCAATATTCACCAATTTTCACCAGTCTTGGTATCATTCCAGAACAAAGAAAGAGAGAGCCTCTGAACTTGATTATTAAGTCTAGTTTAACATTGCTATCAACACTTGAGAAGGATTCAAAAATAAATTACAGACCATTTCCTGCCATGAACAAAGATATAAAAATCATAAACAGCATATTAGAAAACTGAATCCAGCAATCTATAGAAAAGTAGAAGACATCATGACCAATAGGATTTATTTCTGGAATTCCAGAGTAATTTCAAATTCCCAAAACAATGACTGTTGTTTGTCACATTCAGAGGAAAAAAAAAATCATAGGATCTTTTTAATAAATGCAAAGAAAGTTATGAATAGGTTACCTATTCGTAATAAAAATTTGAGAAAAAAGAATAAGGAAAAAATTCTTTAACCTGATTCAGAGGATCTATAAAAAGTTCTATAAGGAACATAATATTGAATGATTAATTACTGAAAGCAGTCCACCTGAAACAGGAAATGACTCAAGGCCTCCCATTATCACCCCGTCTCTTAAACATTGTTTTAGAGGCCCAAGTTTATGCAAAAACAATTAAAATCCTAAGGACTGGGAAGAGAGAAACTACCTCTATTTGATGACATGATTGTGCACATTAAAAAATTCGAAAATGTTTTACAAAACATTGATATTAGTATGTGAATCTGGCAAGGACACTGGATGTGTGTTTAATGTAAAAAAAAACTATTTTTATATATAAGCAACAAAAAGAAAATAAAACTTGAAATGAATCCCATTTATAAAAGGACCAAAACATCAAATATCTAGGATTAAATCTAATAAAACATGTGCCAGTCCTCTGGATTGAAAACTACAAAGTATTTCTAAAAATGCATTAAAGGAGTCCTCAACAAATGAAGGGATGTAACATTTTCATAGATTAGATGACTCAACATTGTAAAAATGTTAACTGATCTATAAGCTCAACACAATCAAATTGATATTCTGGCAGGCTTTAGTAAAAATTGGCAAGTTGGTTCTAAAATTTATTTGGTGAACCGAAAATAGCAAAAAACAATCTGGACTAAGAAGAATAAGGTTTGAATTTTTATGCTACCAGATCCCAATTTTTTTTGTAAAACAAGTATGTGGGTTTGTGTGTGTGTGTGTGTGTTATATACATGCGTGTGTGTATATATATATATACACACACATATACATGCATGTATACTTATATATATAGGTATATATATATACACGCATATATATTGTATGTATACATGCATATATATATACACATATGCCTGTGTATGTACACACACATATGTGTATGTGTATACACACACATATGTGTATGTGTATACACACACATATGTGTATGTGTATACACACACATATGTTGTTGTTGTTGCCTTCTCAGACTATTCTTTCAGAATGGAGGGACTTCCCATATATCACAGCATTAAAGAATCCCTCTGCCAATGCAAGAGACGCGAGTTCAATTCCTGGGTCAGGATGATCCCCTGGAGAACCCAGACAACCCACTCCAGTATTCTTGCCTGGAAAATCCCATGGATAGAGAAGCCTGGTAGGCTATAGCCCATGGGGTTGCAAAAGAGTCAGACATGACTTATGACTAAACAACAAAAAATGTTTATATTCACATATATACATTGTGTGTGTATATACACATACACACATCTACAATATAATATTGTTCAATGATACCTGCTACAACATGGGTGAAACTTTAACATCTTATGCCAGGTGAAATAATCTCAACACAAAGGGACAGATACAGTGTGAGTCCACTTATATGAAATCTCTAGAACAGGCAAAAACATACAGACAGACAGTAGATTAGAGGTTACTTTTAGGGAGACGGGTGATGGGGTAGGGTGATGGGGAGCTATTGCTTAACAGTTAGAGAATTTCTCTTTGGGGTACTGCACATGTTTTAGAAACAGATAATGGTAATGGTTTCACGTTGTGGATATAATAAATGACCATAAATGGTATACTTAAAATCATTAAAAAGACAAATCTTATGTTATATATATGTACTACAACTTAAAAAGTAATTATACCAAAACCATTGAACTGTACACTTTAAAATGGGTGAATTATATGGTATATAAATTGTATCTCAAGCTGTTGAAAGATGACTGTTAAATGTACCCCTCTTATACTTTAAATTGATGCTTTTGAACTGTGGTGTTGAAGACTCTTAAGAGTCCCTTGGACAGTAAGGAGATCAAACCAGTCCATCCTAAAGGAAATCAGTCCTGAATATTCATTGGAAGGACTACTGCTGAAGTCGAAACTCTAATAATTTGGCCACCTAATGTGAAGAACTGACTCACTGGAAAAGACCCTGATGCTGGGAAAGATTGAAGGCAGGAGGAGAAGGGGACAACAGAGGATGAGATGGTTGGATGGCATCATCGACTCAATGGACATGAGTTTGAGCAAGCTCCAGGAGTTGGTGATGAACAGGAAAACCTAGCATGCTGCAGTCCATGGGCTCGCAAAAAGTCAGACATGACTGAGCGACTGAACTGAATTGAACTGAACCTCTCTGGTGGGAGATGTTTATAACAAGGGAAACTGTAAATTTGGGGGGAGGAGTCTTTGGGCAATCACTGTAACTTCCTCTCAGTTTTGCTGTGAACGTAAAAATGCTCTAAAAACACAAGCTCTTCATTAAAAAATTAAACTACTGAGCTGAAAAAAAAAAAGAATGATTACTGTTACAAAGCCACTGCAGTACTAGTTGAAGGACATTGATAATCAAGAGAATCCAGAACAGATTCATATATATATGTTCACTTGATTTATGAAAAGGTTGTCAGAGGAGTACAGTATGGACAGGACAGACTTTTGATAAATAGCCTTTTGATGGACCAGCTAATGTTGCTTTTTTTTTAATTCATATGCACCACTTGGTTTTAAGGGCTTCCTTGGTGGCTCAGAGGGTAAAGCATCTGCCTGCAATGCGGGAGACCCAAGTTTGATCCCTGGGTCAGGAAGAGCCCCTGGAGAAGGAAATGGCAACCTGCTCCAGTATTCTTGCCTGGAGAATCCCATGGGTGGAGAAGCCTGGTAGGCTACAGTCCACGGGGTCGCAAAGAGTTGGACATGACTGAGCGACTTCACTTTCATTTCACTTGGTTTTAAAGAGTAAATATGCATTAATTTGATAAACAATTTAAAACATTATATTTAAAAAATAAAATATTAGATTTAATAAGTATCCAAGTTAGAAAGATGAAAACTCACAAGTAAACAAATAAAACAGTAAATAAATAAAACATCTTTTAGAGAAGTTTAGCATGCATTGATCCTTGATTAAGTCTATGCTATTGGTGGTGGTTCAGTTGCTAAGTCGTGTCCTACTCTTGTGACCCCATGGATTGTAGCCTACTAGGCTGCACTGTCCATGGGATTCTCCAGACAAGAACACTGTAGAGGGGTTGCCATTTCCTTCTCCAGAGGACCTTCCGGACCCAGGAATTGAACCTCGGTCTCCTGCATTGTATGCATATTGGTAAGGATAAGTAATTTTGATTTATGATACTCATTGAGCTGGACAACCTCCATCTTGCTTAAATATTGTCAATCTACACCTGAACACTGAATGAATCACTTTATCCTTTTTTCTAATTCTTTAGAATAATTCATGTAAAGTAATAGTGGTATATAACTTGGCATTTGGTCATTACTGTACCATCATTCGCCATCAACATTCCTTCCATTCACAACAAATCACACACCCAAATCAAATAGTCAATTAAAATAAAAACAAAATAACAATCCATAAAACCAGCCCTCTCCCCCATCCTCACCAATTAAGCACCATGAAACAAAAGAAATGCTTGCAGCGTTTAACACATGTGACAGGACAGATGGTTAATGTCTAACCTTTATCCAGTGAAGATTTGTCTGCTTGAGCTTATTTTCAAGTTTATCTTGCTCTTCTGGGCTTATGGGAGCACTTACAAGCACTGTTCCTCCTGTTTCATTTAATTGTTTTAGAATTCCCTGACGCAGGGGCAACTCTTCGGCCAGTAACTGAAACAGACAAATGCAACAACATTTAAAATGAATTACAGCACAATGCCAACTACCTTGTCTTTGCCTCGATTGATTAATCTATCAAAACAAAGAAAGACTGGAGGCCCATTGGTTCCTTAAATACCAGGTTTTCTACAGAGCACAGAGCTGGTGGACTAAGACACCCACACTTAAGTAAATCAGCCCATCCTACAAAGGATCAGAATATCTTGTCTCCCTCAGAGGTTTTTTTTTTCTCAAGAGAAAAATGTTATGTAGTATGATGAGCTCTAAAACAGTACCCTAAACAGTGTCAAAAGTCTAAAAACACACCTCTCATAAATAGAATAATCTGGGCAAATATAAGCATCCTCTCAGGTATTAGGTCTCCATATTATAACTTAGCATAGTAAGAAATTGCATTATCATATTAAAAGATAACTAAGAACATACCTGGTAACAGGCATTGTGCTAACTAACCTCTTCATATACCTCATCTTAGTTAACTTTTATAATAATGTCATGAGGTAGATCTTACTATCTTCATCTTACATAGAAGGAAACTGAGACAGAGTGGTTAAATATCAGATTCAAGGACACAGAAGTAGCAAGCAACAGACTGGTGATCCAAACTTGGGTGTTTTCATTCAAGAACACTTAATTTTGATACCTGCACATTCCTGAATTTTTCTTATTCATTTAACATCACATTAAAAGTGCCCTTTTTGTGATCTACAAAGCTATCATAGTTTTATTAACTGTATTTTATTTATTTGTATCTTCTATTACTGCACTGTTAATAGTACCACTAGCCACATGAGGCTGTTTAAATTTAAATTAACTGTCAGTAAAATTAAAAACTTAATTCTTCAGTTACATCAGCTATCTTTCAAGTCCTCAAAAGGCAAGTGCAGCTAGTGGCTACTAAAGTTGCTAATATTCAACACATTTATCATGTTGTTAAATGATATTGGATGGTGCTATTGGACAGTGTTGATCTAGACTAAGAAAAAAAAGGAAATCAATGAATATTTATTAATAAGTGAACACCACCAAACATGTCTCTTAAATGAGTTATCACTTTTTTATATATATATAACACTCAATATATTTAGGAAAGATGAATTTTTAAGAACAGACTGAGTTTATTTTTCCATGGCATAACCATCCTCGAACTATGGATCAAAAACTTTTTATTTTTTGACTCTCAAATACCTAATACATTATCTGAATATACTAGGTGCTTAATATTTGTTTACTGAATTAAGCAATATTTTACTTCTTATACTTCATCCTCTGTCAGGTACATATTTCTTATTTCACAGAAATAAGTAGTTGACATGGAGTCTAATCTGCATGTGCAGATCAACTGAATCATTGATAAAGAAGCAGTTCCATTTCTCTTTGATTCTGTGACCTTGTAAAATGAGGATAATAACCATTTTGGAAGTTTGATAAGATTAAAATAGCAGATGTAAATACATCTAATACTTAGTATGTAACAGGGGATGATTGAATGTTAATTTCCCTTTCCCTTCAAGAATTAAAGTAAAACAGATCCAAAGGAGTTTCTTTCCTAAAACTTAAACCATGAAAGTTAATCTAACAGCACAATCAAAGCATCTCAGTCAGCCAGGAGAGCTAATCAGAAAGCAGCAGACATCACAGTGTGTTAGTTGCTCAGTCGTGTCTGACTCTTTGAGACCCCTTGGACTGTAGCTGGCTAGACTCCCCTGTCCAGGGGATTCTCCAGGCAAGAGTACTGGAGTGGGTTGCCATTCCTTTCTCCATCACATTAAGCAGGCATAAAAAAGTCACCAGAAGTTTTATTCAACCAGTATAGAAAGTGAACCAACGTCACCTCCCCTTACCCCTGCAGACAGATCAAATCAAACCAAAATACTGCTTCAGGCAAATAGAATGCCTTTAATTAGAGGCTGAAGCAGGGAGACTGATTTGGCAATTAAGATCTTCCATAAGAAATGAGATCATTTCTACAGATTCTCCCCAGTTTTTAAAATAATTTGGAGCTGTGGAATTCTCCATTAAGTCTAAAATTAATTTCAAATCAGTTTAAAAAGTATCATTATGCATTTTATACACACACATACACAAACAGAAGCACACTTATATATATATATATATATCTGATACATACTTAAAAAAAATATATATATATATACTCACTGGGCTAAGGCAAAATAAAGTTGTGAGCAAAATTACTGAAGAACTATCAGTATCTCAATGGGCAGGAAATCAATGACTGGATACATTTAAAAAATATATTCTTATACTTTTTTTTTCTTTTTTGGCCATACCATGTAGCTCATGGGATCTTAGTTCCCCGACCAGGGATTAAACTCAGGCCATGGCAGTGAGTGGCCAAGTCCTAACCACTGGACCACCAGGGAATTCCCCCTAGGTTCATATACAAGTAGGCCCTGGGAGATTTTTGAAAATAAAATTACCTTGACTTCCTCAAGCTTTTCTTTTAGTTGCTGCTCATTTCCAGGTTCAAGCGGAATACTAGAAATGTTATCTGCTTCTTCCAACCACAAAACAAATTCATTCAAATCTCTTTGAAATTCTGACAGGATATTCTTTTGTTCTTCTAACCTGGAGAAGAATAAAATTGTTTTAAAGAACATATTTCTCAAGTTTTCTAATTCAAAAAAGTTGCATACACTTTCAAAAAATAAGCCATTTTAAAGATGTTAACAATATAATATTTTTAAGGATGTAATATTTTAAAGGCCTAGTCAAATATCACCTTTGGGGCAAAACTGCCTCTGGTTGAGAACAACTTCACCAGAGTAAGCATATAAAGTGAAATTACATGTTTTAAGATGTTTGAATGAAATACATCATTATGGAAAATTGTAAAGTAAAAACAAGGGAATTAAATGAAAACACTAAATTATTACATGTTCAAATGTTTTTCAAATTACAACACAAAATCTTTTTGGAGGAAAGAGGGAATTGATTTAAAATACTTAACATATGTTGTACTAGTTGATGTTGTTAATTATAAAAGCACATATACTGTATGTTACTCAATTAGCCATAAATTTATTCTTACATATTGAATCATAACACAGCTGAGCAAGATAAGCTGCACTTATAACAATTTACATTTTTTTGTTTTATTATCTTTTGGGAACTATGTATATGTGGTATGTAAGCTTTTAAATTGAAGTATAATATACATATAGGAAAGTGTTCATGTAACTATAGAGATCAACATAGTTTTAAAAAATGGATATACCAACTAACCCTTGGATACATCAAAGGAATAGAATGTTATTAGAAGTCCCCTCAAAACCCTTGCAGTCACCAACTCCAAGTGTAATCAGTATCTGCCTGTATTGAGCATTATGTGTATGGGGCAATCCACTCCAGTATTCTTGCCTGGGAAATCCTGTGGACAGAGGAGCCTGGCGGGCTACAGTCCACGAGGTCCCAAGAGTCAGACATGACTTAGTGACTAAACAGCAACACTGTCTTTAAATGTAATGTTTGCAATCATCATCCATGTTCTGTGTAGATTATCTTCTTCACTACATAGCACTAAACTGTATAAAACATAGCTCTGTTGGTGGACATTTGAGTTGCTTCCATTTGGGGGCTGTTCAGCTAATTTTTCATTTGGTTTTGCTTCAAGTTGACAAATATTTACTGAGGGTTTACTAACTTCCAGGAACTCAGATAGGCATTTGGATCAAAGAGAAATGAGTTATGTACCTTGCCTTGAGGATCTCATAGTCCATGAGAGGGAAGAAGCATGTAAATCTAGGACTATGATAGAATATTGTGGAGGACAAGTTATTTTCTGGATATAGAAAGGTATAGAAGATGTGTCAGAGGAGATAATGGTCTACCTGGGTCTTGAAGCATGAAAAGGGATTTGATTCACAGCCTGTGCAAAGACGGGGCACTGAGAGAACTTCAGTTACACTAATTCCCCAAACTGGATCCGGTTATTGATTTTATGTTCCTCTATACTCAATTTTGTTCTTTGATGTGAGCTAGTCCAAAGTCTACCCGAGGCACATGAGAAGACACTGTCTTCTTTTTCTATTCTCCAAACAGCAGATTCTATAAAAACCCAAGTCCTATTTTGGGCTCCATTGAAAACTCAAATCATATTATGTCATCATTGCACTCAAACTTTTCTATTGCTTCCCAGTTCATTCACATCAAAAGCAAAGTCATTATAGCACTCTATGAGGGTCTAGATCTGTGCTGTTCAATATACTAGACACCTTCACATGTGGCTACTAAGCACTTGAAATGATGTGAGGGAAATTGAGATGTGCTGTAAGTGTAAATTGCATACTGGATTTCAAAGACTTAGTACCAAAAAAAGTCATCTCTGTACCTTCTCCTCAATTTTTCTGTGAACCTAAAGCCGCTGTAAAATCTACAACTATTTTTATGGGGGAAAGGGTGGAGGGGAGGGGTAGATTTGGAGTTTGAGATTGACATGTATGGACTGCTATATTTAAAATAGACAACAAGGATCTATTGCAAAAAATAAGAAGATAAACCTAATAAAAATATTTCTAAAGTATTAAAAATAATATAAAACATCTCATTAGCCCTTTAAATATGTACAAGTCAACATGATAATATTTTTAATATATTGGGTTAAATAAAATAGGTTAATTTCACCTGTTCTTACTCTTTTTTACACGTGACATTAGAAAATTTAAGATTACATACGAGGCTCACTGTACTTTTGTATGGAAAAGCACTGATCTATAAAATCTGCTGATCCCCTTTCTCCTTACTTGTCCAACCTCATGTCCATCTTCTCTCCCTTTCTCTTATCCTTCTTGAGACCTCAGCTTGTGTACTTGGCTGTTTTTTCCTTCCTAGAACGACCTTCCCTCACAAATCAAGCATGGCTGGTTTTCTCAGCTCCTGCAGGTCTCTCCCAATCACACCTCTTCTCTCTCCAATTTCTGTTCTTTCTCCCTAGTCAATCTTTCTCTTTAGTACTTAAAACATTCCTGGCAGCTCAGTTGTGAAGAATCCACCTGCAATACAGGAGATACAGGAGACACTTGTTTGATATCTGGGTCGGCCCCTGGAGAAGGAAATGACAACCCACTCCAGTATCCTTGCCTGGAGAATCCCACGGACAGAGGAGCCTGGTGGGCTACAGTCCATGGGGTCGCAAAGACTTAGACAAATGAGTGACTGAGCGTGCCCAAAACAGAAAAGCACTATAATTTGGTTGTTTTGTATATTGTCTATCTTACACACAGGAAATCAAACTTTCTGAGGGCAAAGATTTTGCCTGTTTTATTTACTACTGTTACCCTTGCTCCTGAAATTATGCCTGGCACAGAAAAAATGCTAAATAAATAACTGTTGTGTGAATGAATGAATTTGGCCATCACTCTGTTCAATCTTATACGCTTTTCTGTTTCAAAAGAATTGTTCCCATTTCTTGCAATACTGACTGTAAAACATAATCTAATTTACTCACCGATGTGCACTACAGTATTTCACCAAATGAAATAGACCTTCACTTGCAGGTCATATAACATCACTGTGTATACTCCCAGGATGTGGGTTAGAGTGAGGAATGTTGCTGATTAAATGATAACATTTATTACTTAGAGGTTTTATTAAGAAATTGTTCTTTAGCTTTATATATATATTTTTCTCTTATGTTCCCTTTGAATATGCATAAAAAAAGTCAAGTATAAGTGAAAAAATAGGTGCAGTGTTCTTCAAATTTCCTCATATTTAGACTCTGAGTCTCTAATACCACTTTTCCTTTTAGAGCAGTGGTTCTCAGCCTTTTTGGCACCAGAGACCAGTTTCATGGAAGATAATTTTTTTCACGTACAGGGGTGGAGGGGGGAGGGGATGATTTCTGGATAACTCAATCGCATTACATTTATTGTGTACTTTACTTCTATTATTATTACACCTGCTCCTCATCAGATCACCAGGCATCAGATCCCCTCAGTTCAGTTCAGTTCAGTCACTCAGTCATGTCTGATTCTTTGCAACCCCACAGACTGCAGCATGCCAGGCCTCCCTGTCTATCACCAACTCCTGGAGTTTACTCAAACTCATGTCCATTGAGTCAGTGATGCCATCCAACCATCTCATCCTCTGTCCTCCCCTTCTCCTCCTGCCTTAAATCTTTTCCAGCATCAGGGTCTTTTCCAATGAGTCAGTTCTTTGCATCGGGAGGCCAAAGTATTGGAGTTTCAGCTTCAGCATCAGTCCTTCCAATGAATATTTAGAACTGATTTCCTTTAGGATAAACTGGTTTGATCTCCTTGTGCCCAAGGGACTCTCAAGGGTCTTCTCCAACACCACAGTTCAAAAGCATCAATTCTTCAGCACTCAGCTTTCTTTATAGTCAGATCCCATAACTGGTGTCTTTTTCCATGCAGTGTCATCTTCTGTGACATCAAGAGTCTTGGCAGTATAGCACTTCTTAACAGGGTTCTCCTACAGTTGCTTGGATTTTCTTCTAAACCACATGTGACCTGGCCACCAGAAATAGTAAAGTTCACCCAGATTTCAGTGACACTAATGTGGTAAAATGTGCTGCCTAGAATGAATGAAATTTGGTTAGTTTGCATAGTCTTCCACCACTGATAACAACGAATAACTCAAGTTCTTTGGGCTGCTACCAAGCTGCTGGCTATTTTAGGATTAAAAAAAAAAAAGGTTCATAATGTAATGACAGTTTACTGTTACCTTTAGCTGCTTGTAATTATGAACGAATATTATTATTGGCATTATCTGCCTGATATGCTTAAGCTTATTTTCTGTTAATAAAGTCGATAAAGACTTGGCATTCATTTCCAGAGGGACTAGTGTTTGATTATATGAGTTTTTGCCAATAACAAATATTTTGGCTTCTCTTATACATGCAAAGTAAGGATATCTACATCAGTGTATGATGCTGAAACGGTTGGCTATTGAAGTATTCAAGATTTAGGGAGGAAGGGTTAAAGGATGAAGCTGGTGAAGTGGCTCAAAGCAGGGCTACGAAGTGGATAGAATGCTTTGTTTTAATCTCTAGGTGATGAACTACTCCAATTTTTTGAGTAGAGTAAGATTTATTTCATCCATTCCTTCTGGTATTCTATGAAGAATGGATGTGGGTAAGGGTGGTAAGACAGAGAGTGAGGAACTGAAACCAAGCAGGACCCTGTGGGGTTCCTGGCACAAAAGCCTTTTTGTATTCCCTTCCCTGCATTCCCAAAGTGAAGTGAAAGTCGCTCAGTCCTGTCCAATTCTTTGTGACCCCATGGGCCATACAGTCCATGGAATTCTTCAGGCCAGATACACAGAACAATATATTTGAGCTCTTCTGCAGAACTAAAATCTCCATCAAATGGAAGATGTTAACTACTTGAAGCACTCTTCATAAAGAAAGCTGAGTGCCGAAGAATTGATGCTTTTGAACTATGGTGTTGGAGAAGACTCTTGAGAGTCCCTTGGACTGCAGGAAGATCCAACCAGTCTATCCTAAAGGAAATCAGTCCTGAATATTCAATGGAAGGACTGATGCTGAAACTGAAACTCCAATATTTTGGCCACCTGATGCGAAAAACTGGCTCACTGGAAAAGAGCCTGAT